AGAGTGAGACTCCAACTCAAAAAAAAAAAAAAAGAATAAAAAATTAGCCAGGCGTGGTGGCGCACACATGTAGTCCCAGCTACTCAGGAGGCTGAATGGGAGAGGACGGCTTGAGCCCAGGAGGACGAGGCTGCAGGAGGAATGAGTGGTGATTGTGCCACTGCACTGCAGGCTGGGTGACAGAGCGAGACCCTCTCTCCAAAAGAGAGAGAGAGAGAGAGACAGAGATCTCTGACGGCAGGCTCGCACCACACAAACGCCAGGCTCCCACCGTCCATCCTGGGGGTGAGGGGTCCTGGGGCTGAGCCCGGACGCACCGTGATGGGCAGGGGGTCCTGGGTGTTGGGCGTGTTGATGCTCAGCTTGGCCACGCCGCCGGCCTGGGTTAGGGACGGCACGTCTTCGTGGCCCTGGACCACCACGGGGACGTGGATCGCCGGAGAGCCGTCGGGGTTCGTCACAAAGACCTGCAGAGGCAAGAGGGGGTGGGGGCTCAGGAGGACCCAGAGGCGCGGCTGGCGCTCCGGGAGGGAGGGTGGAGCCCCACCCCGGGTCTCACCATGAGGTCAAAGGGCATGGTGGGCTTGAAGTACTTGGGCGTCTTGGTGAAGTGGATCTTGTACGGGGACGTCACCATGGGGATGGGGCTGCTCTCGGCCTGTACCATGTCGCTCCCTGAAGGGACCGGCCGTGAGGGCGGGCGCCTGGGTCACCCTGAGGACCAGGCCTCCTCCCTTAGACTTGAACCCACCTCCCTCCTGGGTCTATCTTCCCCATCAGACCCGACCCCTTTTTCATACTGGGCCTCCTCCCTTAGACTGGGCCTGACCCTCATGCTGGAGTCCACCTTCCCTCTGGGCCAGCTCCCTCAGACTGGGCTTCCTCCTGGGACGGGGCCTCCCCTCTCAGAACGGCCCACAGTGCGGTCCCGGCGCTCCCCCTCACAACAGGTCTCACCTGACTGCAGGATGACAGTGACAGACACGTACAAGGACTTTCCCACCAGGGCGTCAGCCTGGGAGGGCCGCACGCCGTTCAGCAGCACCTGTCGACTCAGCGTGGCTGTTCCTGTGCCATCCTCAATCTGGGGGCCGAGAGTGGAGGAGACTCAGAGAAGCAGGGGGCTGGGAGGAAGAGAGAGGCTCAAAGGAGGGGGCCCTTGTCAGGTACCGGCTTGCGGGTGAGGGACTCGGCCAGCGTGATCCTCTGGTCGCCGTCCTGGACCCCAAAGAGGACAAACGCGGTTCCTTCCACCTTCTTCCCATATAGGAACCTGCAGGCAACCGGGACAGCAGCTTACCCCTGACTGCTGGGGCTGGAGACCCTGGCCCCTGGCCCCTGGCCTCACCCCCACTGCTTACCTGGCCCTCCCCTGGTCCCTGCCTGGTCCTCACCTGGACCCTCACCGGCCTTCATCTGGTCCCCACCTGGCCCTCACCTAGACCCTCACCTGGCACTCACCTGGCCCCCACCTGGACCCTTACCTGGTCCTCGCATAGTCCCCACCTGGACCCTCATCTGGCCCTCCCCTGGTCCCCACCTGGTCCTCACCTGGACCCTCACCTGGCCTTCACCTGGTCCCCACCTGGTCCTCACCTAGTCCCCATCTGGCCCTCACCTAGACCCTCACCTGGCACTCACCTGGCCCCCACCTGGACCCTCACCTGGTCCTCGCATAGTCCCCACCTGGACCGTCACCTGGTCATCTCCTGGTCCCCACCTGGTCCTCACCTGGGCCCCCACCTGGACCCTCACCTGGTCCTCACATAGTCCTCACCTGGACCCTCACCTGGCCCTCCCCTGGTCCCTGCCTGGTCCTCACCTGGACCCTCACTGGCCTTCATCTGGTCCCCACCTGGCCCTCACCTAGACCCTCACCTGGCGCTCACCTGGCCCCCACCTGGACCCTCACCTGGTCCTCACACAGTCCCCACCTGGACCCTCACCTGGCCCTCCCCTGGTCCCCACCTGGTCCTCACCTGGACCCTCACCTGGCCTTCACCTGGTCCTCACCTAGTCCCCATCTGACCCTCACCTAGACCCTCACCTGTCGCTCACCTGGCCCCCACCTGGACCCTCACCTGGTCCTCGCATATTCCCCACCTGGACCCTCACCTGGCCCTCCCCTGGTCCTCACCTGCATGCTCACCTGGCCCTCACCTGGTCCCAGTCGGGACCTTCACCTGGTCCTCAACGGGTTCCCACCTGGTACCATCTTAGCCCTCTGCCTGGTCCTTGCCTGGTCCTCACCTGGCTGTGATGGTGACCTCCAGGTCTTTCTCACTATAGACATAGTAGAACTTCTCTTCAGGCTCCACGGTGACCTCGAAACTGGGTAGCACTGGGGAGAGAGACGGCATTGGCGGGGCCAGCGCTGAGCCTGGTGTTCCAGGGGTGCCCCTGGCCTTGGCCTCTCCTCTTACCGTATTCCTTCACCTCAAACTCAGTCGAGAAGACCTCCTGCGGCGCATTTTCGTAGAAGGCTTTGATCTTCCACTGCCCCATGCTGCGAGGAAGGTGGGGAGTGGACAGGTCAGGTCTTGGTGCCCCCCCGGCTTCTCCTGGGACGGGGCAGTCTCAAACACCTCCCAAGAGCCTGACGTACTTTACCAGTTCCGGAATGTTCCAAGACAAGGGCAAGATGCCGTTCTGGTTGTGAGATGACAAGGAGTCCTGCTTGATGGGGATGCCTTCAGGGTTCTGAGTGGGCACGGGAGGAAGGGGTGTGAGCAAAATGACTTTCAGAGGCCGGGCTTGGCCTCTCCACTTCCCTGACCTCTCTGTGCCTGGACAATTTTTCTGCACCATGTCCACAGGGAGATGGTTAAGAACATAAGCCTAGTTTCAAATCTCTGCTGTGTCACTTAAAATTGAGTGACCCTAGCCAGGCTCGGTGGCTCCGCCTGTAATCCCGCGCTTTGGGAGGCTGGGGTGAGTGGATTGCCTGAGCCCGCGGGTTCGAGACCCGCCTGGGCAACTTGGTGAGACCTCATCTCTACAATAAATCAAAAATTAGCTGGGCGTGGTAGTGCACGCCTGTAGTTCCGGCTACTTGGAAGGCTGAGGCAGGAGGATCGCCTGAGTCCAGGAGGTCGAGGCCGCAGTGAGCCATGAGCGTGCCACTGCACTCCAGCCTGGGCGATAGTGAGACCCAGGCTCAAACAAAACAAAACAAAATTAAAAAGAAAAGGGAAAGGTGATAACACACCCGCCTCACGGGCTTGGGACACGGTTCACAGGAGCAGAAGAGTATATCACCATCTCTCTGAATGCTAATGACAACTAGTAGCATTCGTTCTTTCACTGCCAGCTGTTACACATCAGGAGATGCCACATAAAACCTGGGTTTTCTAGGATATTCTGTGGACTGTGGGCTCCAGGCAACACAAGCTGTGTCTTTAGAGGAGGCATGTGGTTTCTGCCCCACAGACCCCAGTGCTCATGGTCTTCCGACATGCCACTTGCCTGGTCCCTGCCGCCGCTGTATGATTTCTTTTTTTTCTTTTCTTTTTTTTTTTTTTTGAGTTGGAGTTTCACTCTGTCGTCCAGGCTGGAGTGCATCACGGCCACCCCAGTGTCAACCTGCTGGGCTCAAGTTATCCTTCCGCCTCGGCTTTCCAAGTAGCCAGAACTACAGGCATGCACTACCATGCCCGGCTAATTTCGTTTTATTTATTGTACAGATGAGGTCTTGCCAAATTGCCCAGGCTGGTCTCGAACCCTCAGGCTCAGGCAATCCACTCGTCTTGGGCTCCCAAAGTGCTGGGATGACAGGCTGAGCCACCGAGCCCAGCCCTCTGTGTGATTTCAATAAATCCCCAGGGCAACCTACGAAGATCTTTTTTTTTTGAGTTGGAGTCTCACTCTGTCACCCAGACTGGAGTGCAGTGGCCACTCCCGGCCACCACGGCCTCGACCTGCTGGGCTGCGGTGATCCTTCTGCCTCAGTCTTCCGAGTAGCTGGATCTACAGGCGCGCGCTACCACGCCCGGCTGATTTTTTTGATTTATTGTGGAGATGAGGTCTCGCCAAGTTGCTCAGGCGGGTCTCGAACCCACGGGCTCAGGCAATCCACTCACCTCAGCCTCCCAAAGCGTGGGATTACAGGCTGAGCCACCAAGCCCGGCCCTTCCTTTCTTCTTATTTTATTTCTTGAGTCGAGGTCTCACTGTGTTGCCCAGGCTGGAGTGTAGTGGCGTGATCACGGCTTACTGCAGCCTTGACCTGCCGGGCTCAGGCGATCCTTCCACCTCAGCCTCCCAAGTAGCTGGGACACCCAAGCTGGCTCCTTCTTTGATTTATTGTAGAGAAAAGGTCTTGCCATGTTGCCCAGGCTGGTCTCAAACCCCTGGGCTCAAGCAATCCTCCCACCTCCGGCTCCCAACGTGCTGGGATGACAGGTGTGAGACACCACACCTGGCCCTCCCTTCTTATTTTAGAAGGCTTCGATTAAGCCCCACTAAATGTCAAGCGCTACGCTGGTTTGAGGTGATAAGTCCCTAAACAGATGGAAATCGCTGTGTTGAATTTTGGTTCAATGGAGGGTGGGGCAAGGGGAGAGGCCATTATCCAAAGAATGAACTCCATTTAAAGACATGGCAGGAGTCGGGCTCGGTGGCTCAGCCTGTAATCCCACGCCTTTGGGAGGCTGAGGTGAGTGGACTGCCTGAGCCTGCGGGTTCGAGACCCGCG